GCTACCTAACAAGCTAGAGTTCTGTTGTAAAGAACCTAAACATTTAGATTTAATTTACTTACTTTTTTACAGAAAGAAGAAGATTTAACGACATGCGGTCCACAAACACCCACATAGGTTTCTAAGCTCCAGGTAAGGAACTAATGAGTCAAATATTTATTAGAGTCATGACTTTTGTACCTGAACTTCACACTGTGCTAAGCTAACAAAGGCCTACATTCCTAAACTTGCAGCACTATTAGTGTGCAGCAAATCCATATATAAAATATAAGTTTCTGTAATTTGGTGATTAAAGCCTCATATTTTGAGCTTATTGACTCCCTTATTATTACTTATTGACATCACAAGACGGGATAAGGTGAAGAGTGTCAGATGTACCTTAACACTTGTTGCTCAAGCATGTCTAGGGATGGCTAACCGCTTTTCCCCGACAGCATAAGCAGCAGGTAGGTCTGTAGGCAGAACGTTCACTAGATGGTAATAGATGTGGAGTTGCTTCACTCAGGCTCCCGGCTCCACGTGGATGATCATGTCTGGACATGTCTCCAGCTCTAGCAGTGGCCTCCTCAGTGAGAGACGAGCAGCAGAGCAGCAGCAGGTAAGGATGCTTGGCTCGACCCCTCTGATTTCCAGGGAAATGATTAATTTTCTTAGACTGAAATAAGATTGTGTGGAAAAATGACCCAACTTTTGGTGTAATGTGTGTTTAGTTTAGCATTTGAGGTGTGAAAATGCAGTTGAAGCACTAATGAATGTTAGCGTCTGTAAGAGCTGCTGCTGCGATACTCCTTTCAATGTTTAATGTTTGTAAGATGACACGGATCCTGATATGACTTTGCACTCCCGCCCGTTTTGCTTTGCACCACAGAGTGGAATGTCACACTTGCTGTGGAGGCTGTTGTGTGTTTGTGTTCTGCACAAGAATACATGCAAGCAGGCCAGCTGAGATCAGCTGCAGTAAGGGTTATCTACTATCACATAGTGATGTCTGTAAAGAGGCTGCTAACCTGTAGAAGAGCTTGCAGAGGTCTTTGATCGAGCCTCAAACTGAAATCCTGAGTTCCCCTCTCAGATGAGAACATTTTGCCATGTTCAACTCAAATTAGATTTCAGCTTTTTTCATCTCACTCAATGGACTTTCACTCCACCTATAATTAACGTTTGTGGTGACTCATTTCATGGCACAGAAACACCAGACTAGTAGGTGCCATGGCTCATGTTTTTACAGAGGAGTGGAGTTGTGTGAAGTTGCTCTCACTTCCTTTAGCTGGCTGTGCTACGTTTGCATAGGCTGAGTAGCTTTTAGTAGAAGTTATGAGTCACAGTGAGAAGACCAGGCTGCAGCTGCTTAGTAGTGAAAACTCACGAGGACGCAGTCACAGTGCCAGCATTAGCAGGTAACATGTGTGTCTGCATGCCCGTGGTCACCTGTGTTTGTCTTCCACCTGCAGCGCTCTCATCTGAATCAGGTCTGGTGTGACTTTGTCGCTTCTTTCCCTGAGGGTTGCTTTGTTTTCCCACAGGGAAAACTGTTGGAGATGCGTCACTACAAACCAGACAGATTGTCCAGTCTGCTGATTGGTCAGATTATCAGAGGGCGGGGCTAGCAGAAATTAATACAGGAATAAGGTTCTGTGTTCTGAGCCTGACCTGGTTGATCTCCTGCTGACACACTCATGAATAGTTGGTATGAGCTGGAGCTAATGAGGCGTCCACACGCTTCATCTAGCTCTGTCGCTGGATGAACTTCTGCTCTGCATTTTCATTTCACCAGACACATGGCTGAAAAATATATTCATCAGAAGAAAGTGTGGTGGTGGTGGTGGTGGTGGGGTGGGGGGGGGGGGGGGGGCTGAGGCTTGTGTTGCACCACTGATCAGGTGTTATTCACAGGTTGCTGCTCCTCTGGCCAGTTTTAGAACAGCAGGTAGAAAATGACACCGTGATCTTTTCCGTAACAAAGAGCTTTTTGTTCATGGTGGAACATGACTGGCCACTTTTCCACTTTATATGGTGGGTGATGGTGTTTTTGCCTGTATCTCAGATTTTAACGAAACTCTGAGAAAGAAACAACTGGAGGAGGTACATCTGCAACTGATTAACTTTTGGAGTCACAGCTAGTTGACCTATGTAAACACAGGAATGTCTAACAGTCACTCAGCTGATGAGCTGGGGTCTCATTTACCAAACACGGCGTAGAATCCTTACTAAAACCGTACGTAAGCTCAGCAAAACAAATGTGCTTACGCCAAGCAGGTGTGTGATCTATCAAACATGGAGGACGCACAGCTGCACGCAATCTCCGCTTCAGAAGTCAGAGACTAAGGAGAATGTTTCTCAGCTGCTTTTTAGTCACATCCCGCCCTCACCACGCCCACTTACTGCCATAAATGGTCAATGCAAAGTGCCTTGTGGATCTCATGCATGTACATAAGCCGGCTGTTGCAGCGCTCCACCAATGATATGGCGACCGTAGATCAAGGCAGATCACGGAAGCGCTATTTCACAAGCAGAAGTTGAGGTACCTGTGGGTGAGGTGGAGAAATGAAAGGAAGTGCTTTTGCAAAACAAATAAGAGAAAATCCACGGAGTGGCACAGCGTTGCTGAAGCCGTCAATGCTGACTTCTTCAGAGAGATCTGTGGCGGATATAAAAACAATGGCCCAATCGGGATTTGATCCCCAGACTCCCGGGTGAAAGTCACGCGCGCTAACCAGTCACCCAAACGGAGATCTCCCCTGTACAAGCAGCCAAGTCACATGATCAATCGGGTCACAGTGACAGGACACACACTGTCACAGACGCATGATGTTCTGTCTCAATCTGCCCCCCTGCTGATATTCTGCACTTCAGGCTGTGTGTGTGTGTGTGTGTGTGTGTTGTGCGTGTGCGTGTGCGTGTGTGTGCGTGTGTGTGTGTGTGTGTGTGTACAAGTGATAATGCTGCAGGATTTCGTAATTGTATCTTCTCAGCAGCAGCAGCACTGCAGGTGCTCTCCATGTCCAGCATGTGTGTAAGCCAGGTCTTTAGTCAACTTAAAGTTGTGCACATTCTGCTAAGTTTTCTTTCATAAATCCCAAAGTTTGCGTGGAAAGTTGCTTACGCAGTTTTCCGACCGTTTTGTGCGTAAGCTAGCTTGATAAATGACACCCCTGCCTTTAGTGTTCTAGTGAGTCACTCACACCTGTTGTACCGATAACCAATCAGAAGAGATCTTGTGGGATAGATCAGATGTGGGGGGGTGAAGTTTACATGTGCATCAGACTTAAACGGACTGTTAGTCTGGCACCCAGCACCAGATAGTGGAAGTCTGCAGCTACATGTAAACGGCTCAGTCCAGCTGACACCCGTGGAAGCGGTCTTCTGAGTACGCCGCACCATCAAACAGTACGGGGGCGGGACTTTATCATCTTTTATCAGTATCAATGTCGATTCTGTCTATCAGTCCAGTTCCTATCAGTTCCAGAGTAGCAAACACCTGCATTAAAACTGTGTTTATTAACGATAAATAATCAGTTTTCTTTAACGCCCACCGCCTGTAGTAACCACAAAGAGCAAGTAAACAGGAAAACCATCGAGTCAGAAAAATCCATTAGCATTAATGGCCCCGCCCACCTCGGCATGCAAGCATACGTCCCATTGCTGTTAGCCAATCAGATGCTAGACATTTGTTTGTCATAAAGCCTAACGAGCTATCGCTCATGCCTTTGTCTCCTCCGGTCTGGACGACTGTAATACACCGCTGCCAGGGCTCTGATGAGATATGAGCACACTGCTCCTGTTCTGAAGGCGCTGCATCGGCTCCCTGTTCCACTCAGAATGGAATATAAGGTCTCCCTCCGTACTTATTAGTGCGTTCATGGTTGCACCCTCCTTTATCTAAAGGAACTTCTCACAGCCCCAACACCACGCGCGTCCTCCGCTCTGCAGCATGGGAGATCCAGCCTTTCCATTGGCTGCTCCCTGTCCACCTGAGGGCCCCACAAACTGTTGACACCTTTACACAGAACCTCAAAACCTGTTTAGAAGAGCTCATTGCTAAAAGTCCTTTTACGTTATTTTACTGACTCCTCCTGATTTTATGCTACTTATTGTTCTGGACTCTGATCATGTTATGTAGCACTTAGAGATTTTGACGTCTAAAGTGCTTCATAAACAAAATGTATTATTATTATTTTTAGTAAACACACAAACATCCACCCCCGAAAAAGGAGCGCCAGAGCTTCCTCAATAGAAAACTAACCCTGTGAACTCACGTGGAAGGTTATGGAGCGAGTGGACGAAGGAGGGAAGCCCAGCTGGTCCTGAAGGAGACGCTCTGGTCCTCCGCGGGTGCGTGGCGATGCCGTCTGAACATGCACGCCAGCGTGAGCCTCCCACTGCAGCTCACATTCATGCAGCACGTCTGTCTGAGAAAAAACCTTTTCAGTCTCCAGCTCTCCCTCCCTCCCTCCGTCCTCCCTCCCTCCCTCCCTCCATCCTCCCTCCCTCTGTGTGAGCGTAGTCTGGGCGCCGAGCCAAGTGGAGTGTGTTTTTTTGAATGAATACCTGATGCGGCTGATGAGGCTGGCTGGGGGAGGAGCTGTGTCAGTGGAGTACTGAGAGAGAGAGAGGAAGAAACACACACACACACACACACACATAGAGCAGGAGATAGGAAAGCAACCAGGCAGAGGGAGCTGGCGGGCTGGTGGCCTTGCATAACACACATTTGGAGCAGCCTTGCACGCAGGATTGAGGAGATCTGTTTGGGGAACTTCCTCCGCCGTCGACTGGTTGCAGGAGCAGCGTAGCCTCCTAGCAGGAGTCCAGGGAGAGGGAGGCGGCTCTGGTGGAGGAGAGCGGCACAAAGGGGACACTCGGGAAGACGAGTCCTAGGACACCCTGACAGGCAGGAAGGATCCTTGGCTTTGCTTTGCCAGCAGTAGCTGTGGAGAGACTGGTGAGCTATTCTTAGTACTTTACCCAGGGAGGAGGGGTGTGTGTGTTGGGGGGGGGGGGGGGGGATCATGATTTTTGGCATAGTAGTGATTCTGCCCTGCTACTCCACTCTCCTCTCACTGCTAAGCCCCAGAGACTGGAGCCACAGCATCTGTCCCAGTAGCAGGTTAGGGTTAGGGTTGGTGCCGACCCTAACCCTAACCCTGTCGCGTACAACACGTCTCCGCCGCCTGGACGGCGTGATCCGAGTGTCCAGCAGTGATGCAGAACTCTGGAGTCATTGTGAAGACAAACAGCCTGAGCCCCGCTGCCTGTTCTTGCTGTCTGCTGCCACACGGCCGGTCCGCCTCTTAAAGGCACAGCGCCCTCCGTTCCACCGCCAGGGCACGGAGAAATGGCTCTCCTTTTACCGTTACAGCATCAGGACCCTCTGTTGATGTTGCTGTGAGGCGGTGGAGGCAGAGCTGTCTGTGAGGGGTCGATGTGGCGGCGCTTTACATGCACAGATTCACACGAGTGCACGTACATATTGTCCTCCACGGTGCCTCCCCCTGCTTCATGCCAGAGCTCAGATTGATAATGATGTTTTTGTTTTCTATATTTAGCCTTTTGCTGTGCGGGGTGATCGCCGAGCCTCTGTGACTGCTTTAGCGGGTGAAAATGTGCACGACGGGCATGCCAACAGGTTTTTCTCACTTTGGCTTTGATTTGTGTGAATCTGTTGCAACGAGCCACATCTCAAAATAAACCCGTCACCGTCACTTTCTGCTTCTCTGCACAGTCCTGCTGCAGAGAAATGCTTTTCCTGTGATGCCACGGATCAATAGGAGAAGTACAGGGCTAGAGCGGGGGGAGAGTCCGGCTCTGTTGGAGGAAAAGGAGGAAAACTGGGATCTGCAGCAGAGCTGAGGAGATGTAACCCTGCTGGGGGACGTCTCACCTGGAGACAGCAGGGAGGACGGAAGCCACGTCCATCTGTGAGCGGAGCAGGGATCACACGTAAGGGTGGCTCCCTCCGCCTGAGCTGAACAGAGCCCCCCCCCCTCGTGTTGTCATCCCTCCAGACGTCTCAGGTGTCAGAGGGTTGCTGCTGCACACCTCGGTGGGACTGTCGTGCACCGGCAGCTCGTCTTTGTTCTCGTCTGTCTGCTGGTGTCATAGCTCCGCTTAGACCGGACCCCCCAGCCCGGCACTGGTTATCAGCAGCGTCGTCTTTGCTTAAGGAGACGAGATGCTTGTGTTTCAGATGTGATGTCATCAGGGTTGGGGGGGGGGGGGGTGCTGTAGTGGCGGCTGGGCTGCTGATCGGGGATGTCTCAGTGAGGCGGGGGCAACGGCGCTCCGATGCTGTGGGCTCTGCTCAATGTGGGTCAGGAAAAGCAGAAACCTGCCCCCCCCCCCCATAACTGTTCTCATTCCCTCCTTTCACAAAGCTCTGCACCTTGCTTTGTGGTCCCCTCCTCATCCTCCTCATCCTCCTCCTTTGTTGCATCCGGTGGATCTGGCCCGCCGTGGCGGAGCGGAGGCTCTCCGCGTTCGGCTGCAGTGACCTTGTAGGAACCGGCGTTGGCAGCAGATCTACGGCAGAACAAAGACCAAGGTTCCCTTCTTTATCACGTCCCATCCTCGGCCTTTATGTAACACGTCTGTGTGTGTGTGTGTGTGTGTGTGTGTGTGTGTGTGTGTTACCCATGTCAGTGTAGCCTCTGGCTAATGAACAACTCAGAGTCCTGCGCACTGACCCACAGATATGCCTGCTGGAACCAACGGTCCCTGTGAGGAAGAACCTTGTCAGAAGGCCTTCATTTTATTAGAAATGATGTGTGTGTGTGTGTGTGTGTGTGTGTGTGTGTGTGTGTGTGTGTGTGTTCATACATCCTACATGTCTGCAGCTGAGCTAAATTCTGTCACGCTGATCCAAACCGGTCTTCAGTCCAGTCGGCCCTCAGAGCAGAACGTTGTCAGTAGAACATCTAGTCACGCGTGCTTCACGGACTCTGATTAGAAGCTACACGTTTGTACCACAGCTCCTTCCTGGGGGTGGGTGCCGTATGTGCAGGACTGATTGGCTGATCTCCTCTGCTCTTATCCCAGAGGGATGGTGCACCATCATGAAAACATGAATCTGCAGACACAAAACACTCTAGAGGAACTGTGCAGAGGTGTTTGTACACAATAACACGAGAAGACTTCCTGTTTCAGCGGTGAAGAAAAGTTCCTGCAGGTCCCTAAAGAGAGTCCTTGGAGGTTATTCATAGAGAAGGATCACCGGATCCCATGTTGTGCATCAGACCAGCACGGATCTGATGACTGGTGCCACCTAGTGGCAGAACAAAGAACGGGGACAGTTCTGATTTATTCTGTGTTTGTTTTGATTTTGCAGATTAGTAGGAGCCTGCTGAGGAGACGATGGACCAACACAGGCTGTAGATGCTCAGGTGCAAACACACCTTCAAGCCAGGTAACACCTAACAGCTCCTGAGCAAAAACCAGCCTTATCCTGGCGTTGAATCACACGTTCACCTGATGTTTCTGCTGGCAGGTTCCCTAGGACGCAGCGGAGGAGGTGGACTCATCAGAGATGATTCCTCATGAAGTTTGTGGAGCTGCTTTTGTGACCTGGAGTGACTCCATTTGCTCTGCTGTGAGCTCTGGGCTGGTCCACCAGTAAACGTCCCAGCACACCGGGACAGCCGTCCAGTGGAGCGGAGTCGAGCTAAAAGTGGTGCGAGTGAACTTTAGCACCACAGCGGCACCATGAAGGCCAACCAGGAGCGGAGTAATGGGTGCTTGCCTCCTAAGAAGCGTGAGATCCTGGCTCTGGAGCAGAGGCCAGTGGTAGCAGCAGCGCCTCCTGCTGGAGGACCTGCTGACAGCCCCCACGCAGAAAACCTAGCCTGGCTGGCGAGTGTAGCCAGTGAACGCTGTAAGTCCAGAGGAGCAGAGAGCCCACGATGCCTGGTGCCCTCCACCTCATCCTCTCCTTCCACATCCACCCCCTCCCCAGTTACCCCCCTGTCTGCCGTGCCTCTGGCCTCCTTACCGGCTGTTTACCCCGCTGCCCTCCCCCAGCAAGCCGGGACCATCCAGTTAGCTCAGCTGGGGCCCAACGTCCAGTTCATCAGCTCGGGGCCGTATGCTGGCTACATCTCTTCTCACATCATCCCAGCGACTGCCGGCTCCGCCCCTAGCAGCGCTGCTATGCTAGGACAGCGCCCCCAGGTGGACGGTTACACCACAGCTCTCGTGTCCCCCAGCACCAAAGGGGAGCAGCAGTTTCAAATAGGCCTCCCCCCCACTGAGCTGGCTCCGGTGTCGCTTTCAGGTTCTCCCCAAGTCGCCAGCCAGTACATCCACCTGGACAGCAGGACGCCGCTAACCGTGAGCCGAAACGCGGTGACGCCGCCCACAGCTCACCTGCAGCTCCACCCTCACGCCACCGTGCTCCCTCAGACGCTGACGCTCACCCCGTCACAGCTGGTGGTTCAGTACGCCGACGGTTCTGCTGGGAAGAAGGCCGAGGGCCACGCTAGGGGTGTGATGAACGGGGAGCTAGAGCTGGTCAAACAGACCAAAGCCTCCGCCCAAACGGGCTACGAGGCCAGACACATCCTCGTACCCGCGGACTACGGCCAGAACCCCGCTGGGCTTCAGACCTCCCTGGTTCTGGTGGCGCAGCCCAACCACGGAGCAGAACACGAAAACAAGATCTCTCTAGTCCAAACTGACAGAGGAGGCATCTGTCTGGGGAAGCCGGTCTGCAGAGCCTCTTCTTTCACGTCCCTGTCCTCCTCGGAGGTGGTGAAGTCTGTTGCCCCCCACGCCGTCATCCAGACCACCCTGCCCCCCGAGGAGCTGCCCGCCAGTCTCTACTCCTCCACGCAGCCCCCCATTATTGGCTACATCACCAGTGGGAACCAGAACGCCGTCAGCTACCACACGGCCCTGCCCCAGCACCTGGTCATCCCTAGTGGCCAGTCCCTCCTCATCCCGGTCAGCGGCGCCAATAACGGCCCGGAGATGGAGGTGAGTCGTGCCGTCAGCACCTTGACCGCCACCACGACCCCTCAGATATCCACCGCCATGCCGCATGCCTATCTAGCCACGGCGCTGTCCAAGTGTGAGGCTCTCGGATCAGACGGGAGCCGATCCCCGTCTTCTGTGGTCCAGGCTTCAGAGCTGCCCTCAAGCCCCGCCCCTACCGCTGCCGTGGCGGCACCTCCCTCCCAGGCTCCCGCTCCCGTCCAAACGCCGCCCTCCGTCTCCTCTCCCTCCTCTCCTGTGGTGCTGCCTCCTTTCTTCATGCGAGGCTCCATCATCCAGCTGGCCGACGGGGAGCTGAAGCGTGTGGAAGACCTGAAAACAGAAGATTTCATCCAGAGCGCGGAGATCAGCAGCGAGCTGAAGATCGACTCCAGCACCGTGGAGCGCATCGACAGCGGGCAGAGCCCCAACGCGGTGCTCATCCAGTTCTCGGTGGGCGAGCTCAAAGCTCAGGTAGGCGTGTTTGATTACGTCCGCCCCGTGTCTGCAGAACAGCTGTTCAGGGTTCAGGCTGAGACATCTTTGTTTTGCTGCTGATCAAACTGACAGGAAGAGGAGGGAGTCGTCAGCGATGCTCAAACCTCTCTGGTTAACGACCAGATGGGTTAGTTATAGGGTAACAGGTAGATCAGTGGTTTAGGTCTGAACCATCTAACACTAGTGAGATGCAGCGTGAGTGTTTAACCTGTTCCTGGGCGGTTTAGTGAAGCTCTACCCGTTTCCTGTCCAGGTGTGTGTGGAGGTGCTGGTGGAGTATCCCTTCTTCGTCTTTGGCCAGGGCTGGTCGTCCTGCTGCCCTGACCGGACCACCCAGCTGTTCGAGCTGTCCTGTGCTAAGCTGTGTGTGGGAGACGTGTGTGTGTCGCTGACCCTGCGCGGCCTGAGGAACGGCTCGCTAACACACACTCAGGCGTTTGGGACCAGGCTGAAAACCGCAGAGCCCCACGTGAGGAACAGTGTGAGTCCCGCCCCTTCAGGGAGTGACGGAGATCTCCTGAAGAAGGTGTCGAGTGCAGGAGCAGGAGTGGGGCCGCCAGCAGAGCGCCGAGCGGCTCCGGGACAGGAAGAGGACATCTACAGGGCTCGAGCGGCGCCGACAGGCCAGGAGGCTGGGTCCGCTCTCACAGACACCTCCAAACAGCAGTGTGTTGATCCAGAGAGAGCGGCAGTTCGCAAGAGGCGCTGGTCCGCTCCCGAGCGAGACCAGACTGAGAGAGCAGAGGAGGAGCCTCCCACCAGCCTGCCCAAACCCTCCTTCCTCCCCCAGGAGGTCAAAATCAGCATAGAGGGCCGCTCCAGCGCCGGGGGAGGCGGGTTTTAAACAGAAACACCAGACTGGTGCAGACAAACATCAATACCTGTGGTGTGGTTTGAGTTCAGCCTCCCAGTCAATCAAGACCGCTGTAATATACCCCCCCCCCCCCTACACACACACACACCTGATCAGTGCAATCAGAGCTGGAAGCAGCGTGGCTGTGGGCCTGGAGCTGGTTCAGCACGGCGCTGCGGGACAGGAGATGGTCAGCTGGTACTGGTTTTACTGGGTTTGTTCCTCAGACGGGCGTAGAAAAGACCGACTGAGGGTTCTGTCGAGCGTCTACGAAGAGTTTAGTACGTCCACGTTTCATTTTCACCCCTCTGAGATAGCATGAGCTGCTGCAGGTGGCCTTGTGTGTGTGTGCGTGTGCGTGTGTGTGTGTGTTCTGAAAAGCAGCACTTTGTTGGAGCGTGACGGCGACCCTCTCACCCGCTGCGTAGGTGGAGGAGCTGACGGTTTCTCGTCCTGCAGGTGTGTTGAATGTAAACGGCAGAAATCAGGTAAAGTTTTATTTTTGTGAGGATTTATAGAGCTTCTATTAGAGACCAGAAGAGCTACTGAGAGTCTGTCCTAGCACGTGTACAGTGTGTGTGTGTGCTAGGACACACACACACTGTACAACAGTCATGTGGCCGGTGGACCGTCTGTGCTGCTGCGCCTCCTTCGGTCATTCCATTAAATCACAGGAAGTTGTTGGTGTCAGCGGACGTTCAGGAATGTTCTGAACGCAGTCATGTTTCTGATGGACCGCCATTTTTATCTAATCTCTGTTGTAGCCCAGAAACCAGACTGTTGTGTGTGTGTGTGTGTGTGTGTGACTGCTCAGGTTAACCACTGCCCTTCGACTGTTCTCAGCGGTGTGGTCTTACTCCCTTTAGCGTGAGTCCGACCCTCGACTCATCTCCTCCCACCAAACGTTTGCTGTTTCCAGGCCGGTTCTCAGACTCTGTGTGTCGGACGTGTTCGTGTTTGAACCATCTGGCTGCTTTTACACTGAAAGGTGATGTAAAGGAAGTGATGTAGCGTCTAAACACAGGAGAAGGTAAATATCCTTCTTGTGCAAACAGACAGAAAACAACATGAAAACATCGTCTAGACCACTGTTTCCTGTTTCTAGTGAGTGAAGAGTTGTGTGTAGCTGCAGAGCGAAACATCAACCTGCACACGTGAACACATTCAGCCCTGATCCTGGCGCCGCACGCACTCATAAACTACACCTGCCTCACGCCAGCACAGGGCAGCCGTGCCAACACCAGTCACCACCTCTTTTACACCAACTAGGTGCTACAGGTGATCTTCAACAGGTGATCTTCAGGGACCAGGAGAGTCGGACTCATTCTTTTATGAAACGCTTCAGGAGCCTAGACCAGGTCGTTTCTGTTGGGCTCACTTCTGGATGGAGACGCCACGTCCACCTTTAACGGGGTGTCTGCAAGGTCCTAATGTCAGCTAAGCCCGCTTTCATCTGGAACACGTGTCTCATGGTCGGGCAGACGTGCTTGGATGAAAACCGCATCAGAGCTCGTTCAGATAGTTTAATCAGCTGCAGACAAACGGACCTGCAGTCAAGTAAATGTTTAGGATCTGAACTGTCAGCCTAAAAGCCCTGCAGACATCAGCAGCTATGCATATTAGAACTCTGCTCAGCTGTGTGTGTGTGTGTGTGTGTGTGTGTGTGTGTGTGTGTGTGTGTGTGTGTGTGTGTGTGTGTGTGTGTGTGTGAGAATAATACCTAGGATCGATGCAGAGCATGTCTGAGGGAACCTAGCATACATGTCTGTAAATAGCCAGTCTTCCATCCTAACGTCCATCAGACCTCGTTCCACCGAGACGCCGCCCCCGTGTCCGGACCTTTATTGTAATATTTACCTTCAAAAGGCTCCTCCCTCCCTCCCTCCCTCCCTCCCTCGTTCGTTTGACAGAAGACCAGGATGTTGCTTCACCGAAGGCGTTTTGTTTTGCACCAGCTCAAAAACCCAGGAAACGTGTGGGAGTCAGACACCTTTTCCTTTTCTTCCCTTCATGTTTGAGTGGGTTTGGATATGTCTCTGTATAAGCTGCAGTCTGTCCTGTTTGTACCGTATGCAAGAACCTTGTGTTGAGGTTTGCTAGTCAGAAACTGTTAAAGTCTAATGTTTGATTTGATATTTGATCAAATATATTCAAAGAAATAAAGAATCTAAAGAAGAACTTCTCT